GTGGTCTTCAAGGATAGGTATTTGGGTATCTTGCTCTCTCATTTTATGCTCGCTACTTGTGAAACTTATTCGAATTGCTCGTATATTTAAACAGAAAAAATCATCAAGACCAAAATTTATAGCTCCACCATATCAGATTGGATTCACACTAATCCTAATGTGTTTTCCAGTGTTTTTAGTCATAGTTTCATTGATAGTAGCTCCTCCTGAAGCTAATCGAGCTATACAATATAACAAAGTAAATCATAATTCTCATCCAGAGCTGATTGTTACCTGCAGTTCGCCCCACGTTGCCTTTATTGTCTTACAAATGATTTATTTCTCTGGCCTTCTCATTGCTAGCAATGCTCTTGCTGTCATGACCATAAGGTTTCCGATAAACTTCAATGAAGCGAAATATGTTGCATTTGCGACCTTCTCCCTTGTTCTGACCTGGTTCTTCTTCATGCTTGCTTTTATTGTAAGTCAGAACACTCCCTATCAAGGAGCTGCCCTATCAACTGCAATACAAGTGAGTGCAGTGGCAGTTCTCCTCAGTCTTTTTGGTCCAAGAGTGTTTATTATGATAGCATGGCCCCATAGGAATGCTGAAAGACACTCATCTGTTATATCAAAAATCATGCCACTTGGAACACAAAACCGCACTTCTATTATGCCATCAGATGATAACAAAATTGCAAGCAATAAAAAGAATAATGAGACTGAAGAATAACATAATTATTTTTTGGTTTTTTAAATATTAGTGTGCATGTGTGTGATTGTTTTGTTTACCCATTTATTAGTAGTGATAGGTTTCTGCATACATCATCATAAATGATTGAATCTCTGTTTAGCTAATAAATAACAATATTAAACAGCGGTTGGATGTAGGTAGCATATCAAAGAGCTCGCACTGATACTCATCTAGAGTTATGACTTAACAGTGGAAAGCAAATGCCTTCCTCTATTTTGCTCCTCTGTGGGGGCAACTTGCATACGTTGCTAGGATACGCATCATCTATATGTAATATTTCCAGTGGTTTCCAACCCCTTTCCTGTACTCTAATATCTATATAGTTAAATGTACATGTACATGTACATGTGTATTATATCTATGCCTACAGGGGCTTGTTTGAATTCATTTTATAGGCTCAAACCAGACAATCCAACAGAGGCTCAATCCTACACTAAATAAATTTTTAAAATTTTTTGTTCTAGTAAAATAGTTAACAATAACAAAGAAATTGAAATATAATCATTAACATTGTACAAGTAAATATTTAAGCTAAAGTATTGTCTACCAAAAACAACAATGACAATAATGAAAGCTATACATATTGTAGCTATGAATGATAATGCATAAAGGAAATTGAAATATAGATAAGCGAATTGATATTACAAAATAAACAGATATAACATATATCCTAATTGTTGTTTGCTAGCAGGAGATATGCTAGAGTAACCTCCATCAACTGTTAAAGTATTTATCAGGCAATTGAACCTTTGTAATCACTGCTGCATAGGAAGAACATGAAAGCCATCATTATTTGTGTGCTTGTAGCTCTGGGCTCTATCTCCAATGCTAAACCACAGTACAGCTACAATAAAAAATCTGAGTTACTCATGACACTGGATGGAAGGATAAGTGGAATGAAGAATCGAATTGGAAAGGACATAGTGATAGGAGGACTAGTCTATGTACATGAAAGCGCCAATGGAAAGTGTCTGGAGACAATTGTACAGCACAAAAGTGTAGAGAGCTTGGAAGCACTGCTATATGCCATTGATCTCATTAACTCTAATCCCAATATCCTTCCTAACTTAACACTGGGGTATGATATAAGAGATACCTGTGGCAGTGAAAATGTAGGCTTAGATGAAGCCATTGATATCATCTACTCAAATGGTCAGATTGAGATAGAGAGCTGCAGTTCTGAGTTTGATAATGATACACAGACACCAGTGTCAGCAGTTATTGGAGCACTCATTAGTCCTGTCACTATATCAGTCGCTGGTCTCTTCCGCCTTTTCAAAATGCCTCAAGTTAGTTTCTCCTCTACTTCTTCAATACTCAATAATCGTGATTTTTACCCATATTTCTTTCGTACCATACCACCGGATGATCATCAAGTCCAGGCAATGATTGACCTGATACTTCATTTCAAATGGGATCACGTATCAACACTCTACTCTAGCAACAGATACGGTCAGCCAGCAATAAATGCATTCCACAAATTAGCTAACGAGAAAGGAATTTGCTTAGACATAAGTGAAACCTTAGATGAGAAATCAGATTATGACAGCGTAGCATCCAAACTGTATAACTCTACAGCTAATGTTGTCGTATTATTTGCTTCACTAACAGACGTTCAGAGAATTTTAGATGCAGTTAAAAAAGTATACGAGAATAGTAACAACAAAAGAAGATTCCTTTGGTTAGCCAGTGACAGTTGGTCAGAGATAGATGACTATCATGAAATAACTATTGGTAAGTGGGGGACAGCACCTTCTTCTCCATTTGTCCCAGGATTCAATGAATATTATTCAGAACTTAATCCTAGCAGTAACAGACGCAACCCTTGGTTTGAAGAGTTCTATCAACTTTATAATCCCAACTGTAGTAATAATAGTACTACTGGCAATTGTTCTACAAGCATAACACAAAATGCTAGTTATGTACAAGATTCATTTGATGCTCTAGCTATTGATGCAGTATACACCATTGCCAATGCTTTTGATGCTTTCTTTAAAGAAAACTGTAAATTTCCATTAGTTTGGTACCCACAAAATAGAAGCTGCATTGGAAACAATAGCAATGATACTACTCTAACTGGAGAAAAACTGAAAGATTACATTCAAAGGACAAATTTTACAAGCTTTACCCAAACTATTGTCAATTTTGACAGTGAAGGTAACATTGAAGGTAAATATAAAATATTGAACTATCAATTAAACAAATCAGCTGATTGTAATGAAAAGTGTATAGCTTTAAAAGAGGTGGGTACTTGGGACGGAAGCTTATCAAGCAACCGGCTTCAATTATCTTCTGACATTGAACAGCAATTTGGTATTGATAAAGCAGGCAATATCATCACAGCTTTAGAATCAAATTGTCAAAGTTGTAGTCCTGGGTATTTTAAGAGGGTAGTAACGTCATCATGTT